CAATCAAATAAAACTAAAAATGGCCAGAAAAATCATTTCAAACTCTCATCTCAACGCAAGAGAAGCCGTTGGAATTGGGGAAAGAAACTGAATTTCAAGCTAGGTTTACAAAAATAAGTTGTAAATTTGTAATTAATAGAGGAGACTAACCCGGAGGCAAAGGGCTGGTGCTTGGTGGATAGGTTGAGCAGTAAGTCGTGGGTTGTGGAGGGATGGAGGCTATAGCGGACTGCAGGGTAGAACGATTGGAACTCGTGAGGCGGGGGAGAGTCATGATAGGAACTCGAGAGACTGGACGCTAGAGCGACTGTCGGGTGACGACGAATGAACTCGAGACTAGCTAGGAGGACGGTCGGAGTGGGGAAGCGAGCTGCGAATCTAGGAGCTACTACTGAGCAGCCAAGGGTTTTTGTTCCGGAAAATAGAAGCTTCAGCTGATTATGGGTGAGGTTATTAGGTTACGGCGGAGGTTTGGGTTGAATTGCAAGAACGGGAGCAGAGGTCACGGACTCACGGGAGCAAAGGTCACGGCGGTTGGAGTAGTAACCGGCGTATGTGCATGGGGATTTAATCGACTGCGGGGAGATGAAGACTCAGGGAGCCGCCATTGTTAATCGTCAACGTACTGGTCGATCTAGCTAGGGTTCGCACGGTGTAATGAAAGAAGAGAGGGAGATTAAAGGTGGAATATGGTTTTAGCTAGATAGGGCTTGGCCGGATGCAAAATATGTTTAAGTGTTTTTTTAATTGTTAATATCTGATACAAAAATGTCAAAGAATAATAGAAGTTTTGGAAACAAATGTCACTGTGAAATAGTGATACAATTGTATCAGAAAATTCTAACACTTATATGTTAAACACAAAATATGTCGTATATTAATGACACTATATAAAAAAGTGTCACTACAAAAGTGTCACTATAAGGCAATTTTCTACTAGTGTTAACATATATATATATATATATATATATATATATGGAGTATATATATATATATATACTCCATATATATTAGGTATAAAAAACTGAATGAATAGACGTCTTAATGTGGATTTTCACAACCTAATGATTAAGTCAGTTTTTTGACCAAATGAATTGAATAAGTCGTCTTTTCAGTTAAATTGTAAGTAAACACGACTTAATAACTGAAAGATTAAATAGTCGATCTTTCTTATTAAATTCATTAAGTCATAAGTAAATGGCTCCTAAATGATTAAGTAGACTAAACAAATTTATTTAAACAAATTAAATAAATTCTATGAGGCCTAGATAGAATTCGAATGTTAAACTATCTCCGGAGATAAATGAGTTGTTTGAGAAAGCGGTCTAGTCCAGCTAGTCGTCGACTCACTCTCCCTTAAGAGAGGTCTCGGGTTCGAAACTCAATGGAGTAGGTTTCAGCCTTGATTAGTCCAGCCCATAGCCCCCAACCCCCAGACGTGCCCTGGAGTATAAAAAAAGACAAATGAGTTGTTTTCATAGGGCGATTTTACCAAAAGCTTTGATGTTCATATTTTTTGTACAAATGAATTACTTAGGTCTGACACCTCTTATTTTAGGAAAGAAAATGACTTCAAATTAATGAAAACCCATATTCCTCAGGTTGTGTATGGTAACTACATTTCGTACACATTATTTACCAAGCTTTTACTCTCTAATCAATACACCCGAGTTGAAATCACCGAATTCACCGAGTAGGAAAACTATTACACTTATCTTTTGTACTTGGCTTTTTGTACAATTACTTGAGTAGGTATTTGATGATTTAGAGCCTGATTGGCGACCCCATTTTTTCAGTTTATCATATTTAACGGTCAACTTTTCACCAAACACGTAACCTTGGATTTCACGCGCTAAATTGTGCAATATTAAAAAAAAGCCGGAGTTACTTATTTTGGCCGTATTGGTTAAAGTCGCTATAGAAGATTATTGTAGCTATTATATAATATTTTATTTATTTTATCAATAAAATATATTTTAATTTGTTTTCATAAATCAGCAGGATTAGCCGATCCAGCCATTTGAGTCAGAACTTCATAAATTTCAGCAGAATCAGCCAATACAACTGATTTAGGTATTACTAAACCGGCTCTTGTTTACATGTAGGTACGTCTGTACATGTTGGTTAAAGCAAAAGTTTCTTAGTGAGCGAAGGTGGGTCGATCCCACGGTATAATTTGCGCCCTCGATCCCATTTAAATCTTTACATTTTCCTTTTTGTGACGTCCTATTTACTGCTTGACATTTCCTTTTTAGGCAACTCCTTTATATTAAATGTCTTAATTACCTTTCACTACTCACACGTTTTTTACATTTGAATAGATAACATTAATTTTCTCCAAAAGTCAAAGGGCATACAACACATTTATTTTTGAGCTTATAAAATACTCTCTACGTCCCAATCTATTTGTTAAAGTCAATATTTTTGGTCAACCAATAATAAAAGTCAATAATTCTAGATTAGAGCAATTTATGATTTGTAGAGCAGAGAGCTGCTCGAGCCTACGGGGCAGATCAGATAGAGAGTGAGATTTGCGGAGGCAACAGCCCGGAACTGTTTTATCCGAAGCTAGTACGGCGGTGCTACGCCTGATGCTGCCGCATCTGTAGTGCAGGCAGAGAGGACCGGAGAGGAGAGGTAGCAAAAAAATACCAGTAACTTTTTAACTTTTCTTCTTCCTATGTTTTTTTACCTTCTTCCCTTTATATAAATGATTGAACCGTTAAAATGTGTACTTTCTGTTGTCTTCAAAAGCTAATTAGGGAAGTTCAGTATAACAAAACAAGATAAAGCTGCCCATATGTTTTCTTATGGTCGCCGTGGATGGGCCAATTAGCTTCCACAGCTGCCGGAGATCGAAATCAAACCGACCGAACCATCTCCGGCTTTACGGCTCCGGTTATTCCGATGCAAGGCACTGACATACCCGATGGCGTCACTTCCGATGTCTTTGCTGATTACTCATCCAACATCCCGGATGAGTGCTTAGCTTGCATTTTCCAGTCTTTAAGCTCCGGAGACCGTAAGCGTTGCTCCCTCGTCTCCCGTCGGTGGTTTAGAGTGGAAGGACAGAGCCGGAACCGCCTATCGCTCCACGCTCAAGCTGAGCTCACCGCAGCAGTTCCTTCAATTTTCTCGCGATTCGATTCGGTGACGAAGTTGGCGTTGAAATGCGACCGCAGATCTGTGAGTATAGGTGACGACGCGTTGGTTTTTATTTCCCTCCGGTGCCCTAATCTCACTAGGTTAAAGCTGCGGTGTTGCCGGGATCTCACAGACGCCGGAATAGAAGCCTTTGCAAAGAACTGCCTCTCTCTAAAGAAGCTTTCGTGCGGATCCTGCACTTTCGGAGCTGAAGGCATGAACGCCCTGCTCGACAACTGCTCCTTTCTCGAGGAATTATCAGTGAAGCGACTCCGTGGAATAGCAAATGGAGCTATGGCCAAACCAATTGGCCCGGGAGCGGCCGCAGCATCACTCCGAATCATTTGCCTAAAAGAGCTTTACAACGGGCAGTGTTTCGGACCCTTGATCATAGGATCTAAGAATTTGAAGACTCTTAAGCTCCTAAGATGCTCAGGTGATTGGGACAATCTTCTGGAATCTATTTCTAGTCAGGCAATAGTAGAGCTTCATGTAGAGAGACTTCAGGTTAGTGATGCTGGTCTTACTGCAATTTCAAATTTCTCAAATCTTGAAATTTTACACCTCGTGAAGACTCCAGAATGCACTAATCTAGGGTTAAAAGTAGTCGCCCAACACTGTAAACTTCTCCGGAAACTTCATATAGACGGATGGAAAACGAACAGGATAAGCGATGAAGGATTGCTGGCTGTGGCGGACCACTGCCCCTCATTACAAGAACTAGTTCTAATTGGTGTTAACCCAACACTTATTAGCTTAGAGAAGCTTGCTTCAAAATGTCTAAAATTAGAAAGATTAGCACTTTGTGGGAGTGAGACAGTGGGTGACCCAGAGCTCACATGCATAGCAAATAAGTGCATCACATTAAAGAAACTTTGTATAAAGAGTTGCCCAGTATCAAACCTGGGAATGGAGGCATTGGGTTATGGGTGCCCGAATTTGGTAAAGGTGAAGGTTAAGAAATGCAGGCTGGTGACTCCAGAAGTTGCAGATTGGTTGAGGGGTTGTCGGGGTTCACTTGCTATCAATTTGGACAGCATTGTTGTGGTTGTGAATCAGGAAATCGCTGCTAGTGATGATGGACTGTCCGAAGCTAGTCAAGAAAACAGACAAGCCCATGGTGGGGGTGGCCCAAACATTACCAGGAGTTCGAATTCCTTGAGGGAAAGACTAGGAATGCTAACATGGAGGAATTTCGGGTCTTGTACATTCAGGAGATGGTTAAGTTTTGGCGGTAGTTCAAGGAATAATAACTAAGGGAAAGAAGAAACTGATTGAGATGAATGATAGTCTGGTAAGCTGCTTATGTATACTTATTTTTTGTTTGGTAGGACAATCCAGCCCTCCTGTTCCAGGGTGAGATTACTGAGGCTATGGGCCCATATGATGATGTCCGATTAAAGGATCAGATTTGTTCACAGGGAACCTTTTTTTTGTCTGTCTTGCTTGTCAAGTTTTCAGTTTGCTTGGAGTGCTTGGTATGTTAATTCAGTTTGGATGAACATTTTTTACCATCTTCACATATAGCTTTGTTCATAAACATTCAACATAGTGCTGGCTCTCATTTTCTCTCTTTTCGAGTATGGTGACTCAGCAAACAAATCGGCTGACTTAGTTTAAAAGATAAGTTTAATAGGAAAAGTACATTTTTTGCACTATCAAGCTAACATATAAGGTTATATACAACTACTGCCATCATATTAACCTTGTATCTATGTCTATATCTTAATACAACACAACTTTTTCTTGATTACATTTGAATTGTAATATTCAAAGCACCATTGCTACCAAATTGTTGCTATCTTTGAATTTTAATCTATAGCCTGTCAACAAAGATGAAAGGTGTGATGGTACACAATGGGAAAGAAATCACAAATATTTAATTAGATAACGGTTTGTTTGTTTAAGATCCATATCAAGAGTACTTGTCAGGATCTCAATGTCCTTTACATATGGCTGTGCTTAGCAAGCATATTTGAATCCAATTAAGATGGTTGCCTTAGTTAGCAGGGGGAGGTGGATAAACATTGTGAGGTGGTGGTGATGGTGGATACTCCATCGCCATTAAGGATGGAGGAGAGTGGTGCCGACAATGTTCCTCTGTGAGCTGCGGCGGCAGCGGATACCAACGGCTTCCATCTAGAAAAATTGTTGGAAGATATGTAATGCAATCAAACAATATTAGCTTAGTTTCGGAACACAATTAGCTTATTTTAAAAAAAGAATTAGCTTAGTTTAGCGACACACATATAACAGTAACTGGCTTAGATAGGAGCAATAAATTTCAGATGGAATTGAATTTTAGAATCTTTTATCTGGTCGGTTTCCTTAAATCTAAGTTCTCCTACACTACTCTCTTTTAATGTTGTTGGAGTATATAAGACTCCTAAAAGGAAGTGAATTTATTTTTTGGAAGTTTTGGTTTTGCTCATACATAAGAGGCGGGGGCTGCGGGAGCCGGCCCCTTCAGTGGAAATGGTTAGATAGTTATAGGGATTATTTGATGCCGTCATGCCGCCGCTTGTCCTCTTCTACCTCTCCTCCAGTTTTCCATAGCCGTGGCCTAGTTGCTGCTTTCGGTGTGATGAAGATGTTGAAGTTTGTTTTTATAACACTTGATCAAAACGACGACATTTGGTTAAGTGATACAATAACAATAACGGCGTTGTCAACTAATTGTTTTTCTGCCTTCATCAAAACTAAAGGCTGAAAGTTTGTTACGAGGGTAACCAACAAGTGAGGAAAGGACTCAATCTGAAAACATTAGAGTTTGGGAGCCGTGACTTGGTGAGTTGTCGAGGTCAATTCTAGGAGGCGAGGGCGATGAAGAAAAGCGAGCAGCAAGGCCTGTTTGGCTGCCGCAAATGCGATTCGTCGAGGTGCATTCAACAACCCAGCCAGCCCAGCCAGGCAGCCAGCCCTTCTTCTTCTTCTTCCAGTTTTGTTTGTGTCGATTGTGCAGCATTAGCCTGATAGTTTTTTTTTTCAAAGTATGAAAAGTTCAGATTTTGTTATGTGTTGTAGCGCCAACTGCGGCCCGCCAGTAGCTAGTCCTTATGTTAGCGTGGAATTTTTGTTTACTTGTATGAAGTATTATACAAAAAAATACTTGGAAGATTAAAAAAAAAACTAGGTGTACACAAAAGTTGTATACTTTGTGTACAAAAAAGTAGTTTCATGTGTAATTTTGTTCATAAGCTCTTAATGTACACATGAAACTAGAGGATGTACACAAAAAGTGTACAACTTTTGTATACACCAAGAATGACCCAAGATTTTATAGCTAGCCGTAAATGTTGTATCATTGATAATTTGTTTTAGTTTGTGTCCTGTTTTTTCAAATACTTTTTAATTCCTCATTGACAATTGACACAACAGTTATTAGAATTTTGGGGCGAAGCATTCAGCAGCACAACTTTTAGGGTTCTCCTTCCACCGATTGTTTGTGTGGCTTTCCTTTCGTCGATTGTTCGTGCGGCTTTTGATTCAGATTGTTAGTTCTTTTGTTTTGGGATTTATGTGAGCTTCGGATTATCCATAGGATCTCGAAGCAGCGACAAGATTTCATCTTTATTCTCCGATTTCTTTTCTCGGCTTGTGCAAGTCCATCTTAAAGGAGGCGTGAGTGCGGTTGCAGTTTTTGAAAACGAAAACAAGGTTCAAGAAAGGATAACCATGGCTTATATGAATGATCTAGAGCATTGTTGTCTCATTCCAAGTTTTGAAGAGGAGGTTGAAGGGTTGGTTTTTGGTGGATCAACATGGGTGGAGGGCAGTAGCGGTGGCGGCATGGGTGATGATCAGACGGGGAGCAGTGAAGGTCTGAGCAAAAGAGATGACATATCCCCCCCCCCCCCCCCCCCCACATGAACCACCGCCTTGGAGTGATCAAGGTGTCAGAGTTTTGAAAATGATATTTCAAGATAACTAGCACGAAGTTTGGAGTGTTTATAAGTTATTTTATTTTTTTATGGTCTTATCTACGCGTTATGTTTGTTTACGTTGCTCTGCTTTTTGTTGTTGTTTTTCGTTTTAGGTCTACAATAGTGATTGACAATTCTGCTAGATATTATGTCGTTAGAAGGATCTATATGACTAGTAATTGATGTGTCACACCCGTTTGTTGGCTAGCGATTCGTATTGCTCTTTCAGGGGTGATCGTTTCTAAGTCTAGCCGTATGGTTTATAATGCTAGTTGGTTACAGATAGGTTTTGTGAGTGTTGGTCTCTTTGAGGTTATGTAATGATCCAAGTCTTAATGATACTACATATTAATTTAAACGGTTTTTCCTATATTTTTTTTTTAAATTTTAATAATCTTTAACACTTTAACTTTTTCATTTGAAAATAACACTTCAACTTAATTGTTACCCCTTCAGTCCCAATTTGTAATACATGTTTCCTATTCACTTGGTCAACACAGATCATTCTTAATCTGTTACTTTATAATTTTTATCAAATTTGATTCTGATTTTTGCGACTTTGAAAATTTTAATGTAATTTCTGAATATGTAATTTTTTTCTAAAAATAATTTGAGTTCAGACAGGGATCCGTTTGCTTTATCATCGGTCAAACATCGTAAAACGTAAAATGTCTTACAAATTGGGACATAGGGAATATTAGTTTATACATTACTGGTTTAAGTTTTTAAATGATTTAGATAAATACAAATGACTAAGTCGGAGCAAGACAGAGTACATGGAGTGCAAGTTTGCTGGAGGTAGGAGTGGTAGAAGCAATGGTAATAGCGGAATTACTCTGGATGGTAAGGAGATACCAGTCAGCGATATGTTCCGTTACTTGGGCTCCATAATTCAGAAGGACAGTAAGTTAGATGGAGATGTATCCCATAGAATCAGAACAAAGTGGATGAAGTGGAAGAGTGCGTCAGGATTTATATGCGATCGAGGTATGCCAACTAGACTGAAGGGTAAATTTTATAGGACGTCAATTAGGTCTGCATTACTATATGGCGTAGAGTGTTTGGCAGTGAAACAATGTCACATTCAAAAGATGAGTATGGCAGAGATGCACATGCTGCGTTGGATGTGTGGGCATACTAGGAAGGACCGCGTGAGGAATGAGACAATCAGACCAAGGGTTGAAGTAGCACCTATTGAAGACAAGATGCGGGAGTCGCGCCTACGGTGGTTTGGTCATGTGCGTAGAAGACCGAGTGATGCACATGTCAGACGAGTTGAAATGTGTGGAGAAGAGGCAGAGAAGAGAGGGAGAGGAAGACCCAAACAGACGTGGGTTAGGGAAGTTTGAAGTGATATGCTTCTTCTGGAATTGGATGAGAGCATGACTTTGGAGAGAGCTAAGTGGAGGGCAGGTATTCGTGTGGAGGAGTGATCTCGTATCATCTTTTTCCCTCATCTTTTTCCTTGTTTTTTTATCCTTATATATATAAACATTATTTGTATCCTTTTTATTTTATCATTTTTATGTATATTCATCTCTTTTTATATTATCTTTTTATAATAGCTTATCTTTTTTATCTTTATTTCATTTGTTTTCATTTTGGTGGTGATATCATGTATCAATTCATGTTAGCCGACCCCAATATCTTTTGGGACTAAAGCTTGGATGTTGTTGTAGATAAATACAAATGACTAATTCATATGTAAATTTGTTATCTTTTACTAGTTTTGGATTTTAACGTGTATATATGATTAACCTTCTATTTATGTTTATAGTACACGTGATGTTGTTAGAATACTATTCCTATTTTTAAACTTGTGGGGTATTGGGTTTCTGCATATCCGACAAGACTTAAACAGACCAAATCAGATCAGAATAGACAAATCAGACAATACCAGCCTAGATGATATACACTGAGAACAAAAAATTTTCAGCGAAAATAAGGTGATTTTACAACATTTTCAACATATGCATACCCGTAAGACGTACAAAGTAATTAACTCAATCAATTTATAGTACCCGTAAGAGGGATTTATTTTCTCAGACAATTTATCACTTATTCGTTCAGCCTAGTTTTTACTTTTTATGGTTCTTAAGCTTCAGATATACTCACTTCGTCTCTCTTATATTGTCCCATTTTACCTTTTCGGGAAGTCCCACTAAAATTGTCTCATATTATATTTGGTAAAGTTTGTGTGGTTCTAAATCATTCTTACTTTATTCTTACTTTATCAATTAATATAAACCACACAACCCCACTTTTCTTAATAATCGTGCCACTCTCTTCCGACCCAATATAAGAGGGACGGAGGTAGTATCAGTTTAGGTGGAGTTCCTATTATCAGCCTGCCTTCTCCCCCTCGACATTTCCTCTTGCAGAAATATCATTCGTCGTCCGCCAACAACTCCAGCCTCTATGAAAACGGGCAACCTTCACCCCAAATCCTCCACTTCCTCCCATTCTAAACATCCCAAATCGGGGTATTTCGGAGGACACGTGTTGATAACCACAAACTATCCATCTCCTACGTGAATGAACAAAACGTTATATATAAAAAGGTAAAAAACAAAAAGTTTTGAAAAATTTTAAAAAAATTAAAAATTAAAAAATATAAAGATTAAAAAATTAAAAAATTTAAAAAATGAAAAATTATAAATTAAAAATTTTAAAAATTAAAAATAAAAATATTTAAAAAATAAAAAATAAAAATTAAAAATTCCAAACTGAAAAATGAAAAATTATAAAATTAAAAAAGTATAAAATCATATAAAATAAAATTACGACTCATGACCATAGGAGTAATATTCACAATAGTTAGACATGTATCTATTTTTTTAAGTAAGCTATCAAATAAAAGTAAATTGCAGAAATTATTTTCATTAAACCTTTCCTCCTATTTCCTCCAACCAAACACAAATTTTTATCAAAATCCTTCCTTCCCCTTCCCTTCCCTTCCCTCCTTGACTCTCCCCTTCCCTCCCCTCTTTTGAACCAAACAAGGCCTAAGGGTGTGTTTGGGAGTTGGGTTTTGGAGGGGAGGGGAATGTTAATGGGGGTTTATGATTCTCCTTTTCATGTTTGGGAGTTTAAAAAATTGGAGGGGTGGTTTAGGAGGGCTTTTGTAACCCTTCAAAACCTTCCAAATGCTTAATTTTTAAGTTCCCCCAATTTGGAGGGTTTTGGAGGATAATTAACAAGATGATAATTTAAATTAAATTAGAAACGAATATCAGCTCAATGATTTGAATTCGTATCTCAAAGTTACGTAGTATTTTAATTATAATTCCTTCAAAAACCCTCTCCTTCCAATTTTTTTACTCCCAAATACAAAGAAGAGCTTCCTCACCCTCCCCTCCCTTTCTCCTCCAATAATATACCTCCAAAGTCTTCCCCTCCCCTTCCCTCTAAACTCCCAAACATACCCTTCGACTCGATCAATATTTTCTCTCATGGTATATGGTTTTAATATCATTTGTTTCCTTTTTATATGCTAGAGTTTCTCCTTATTCTTAATCTATTGTTTACCTCCTGCAAAATTCAGTTTTGTTTTTCTTGTAAATTCATTCCATTTATGTATTTTGGTAAAGTTTCTACAATTTTACTTACTTTTAAACATGGCATAAGATGTTTTCTTTTGGACTGTTTTCAGTCCCAGAGCAGGGCACACTTACATAGTTATAAATTACACAGAGACCAGACATTTACCAGACCACTTTAGACCAGACCAGATCAGACCAGACCAGTCCAAAAGAGAACATCCATATTCTTAAACGTCAGGTTGTATGTTGTTGCCTTATAGGCTTATGTACGATTTTCTGATTAGTTGTTCTTTGGATTTATACATATTCAGTTTCATACTCTTTAAGCATATCCCTAGCCTCAAAGTTTCAAGCAGATTGTAGGCTTGTAGCCACTCTTAAGCATAGCACAAATTCTAGAACAAGAAATCCTTCTTTTTTCATTTTCGAAAAGAAATGATGATACTCGATTTTATGAGGTAACCTTTAGTTCTTGCTCTTTGCTGAAGATGACAAGAGAGGTCACTTACGAAAACTTTGTTATATTAGCCTAGGAAATTTATCCTAACAGTAGGAAGTAAATTTTTACATAACAAATGCCTTAATGTTATCCTCCACTCTAGTGAGGTGGATTCTCCTAAGAATTGTGATATTTGCTAGCGGGTTTTTAGTATAAGCCGTTACAATAAAAGTATTACACTCAAAGTGTTAAAAAACCTTATTTTTGTGTGGTGTGAGTACTTACAAAATGTGTTTGATTGATTCACTGCAACACAGGTGAATTGATTTGAAATATCTCAACTTCAATAAAGAAGACTAAATTGAAGACATGAGTTATGCACTCATGGTCTGAATTCATATGATACACATAGTGGTCAATATAGTACTTGGCTTAAAAACTAGTTATGCCTTAGTACTTGGTACTCGTTTTCTTTATTAAGAATCATGCCGCCGAGGAGTACTTAGTACTCGTTTTCAATATAGTACTTGAATCGATTCACTCTTCATAGTTGTGTACATAATTAATGTCGTTTCTTCTCATATATATCGAGACCATAAAAACTAGGTAAATATATTGATGTTTACCTCACATACTAATTGATGATCTGAAATTTTTGTGAAAGGAAGGTCAATATATTACATGCATCTCAAATGGTTTCTGAGTGATGTGGTTCACGACGTGGTGCGCATAAAGAGCCACCAAATTGGATGAAACTCTCACACTGTCGCTGGTGGGATTGAACATGAGACCTCAATCTAACAACCTCACTCAGCCATCGTTGAGCTACCCGTGCGAGTAAGACATTGTTGATTCAAATTGAGATACTACGTCATGCACTATATGTGAGACCTAATTTCCTATCCAGGTAGCGTTGGTATTGGAAAGGTAAAGAAATGATTTCTTTTTTTACTTTATCCTAACCTTAATTTCCATTTATTGAATTTATACATTACAAATACCTTACAAATTTTTATTCTGTATAAATATTCCAGAATCGGTCTCTTAGAAGTGAAGCACATAGCATCGAAGAAATTAACAAAATTCGTGATGTATGCACAAGTGTTTTTAGATGTTGTTATAAATATGTAGATTTTGTTTAGAATTAACTTAGCATGTCAATTCTAGCTAGGTCTAGTTGTTGGATAAAAAAAGTTTATTTTAGCTTTGATGTAACAATCCAGTGTATGTCTGCTGGTTTTTTATTGTGATTGCATTGTTTATGAATGATAACTAAAATCAGATTTGAGCAAATGTATGTTATGTCTAAAATAGGGATAAAAAACGGGGGAAACTTGCCCTTTATACACCCTTGTCTTGCAGAGCCTTTATATATCGAATGATGCATGCTATATTGCTATGTTGTGTTTTCTATCAATACACCAAGTACATGTGATTTTAATTTCGTTAGTTTTGTAATTCAAATTCACTTTTGAGTTTCTTAGTTATCTTTACCTTGATATTTTCTCATAACCTTGGTGAGATGTCATGTCCTCCTTATCTATATACTTATTTATGAAATCTTTTTTGTGAATACATCCTATGAGAGCGTTTGAATCTACTTCTTAAAACTGCTTCTGCTACTTCTAGGAGTAGAAAACGATATTGGAGGGTTTGGTTGAAACTACAGAAGTACTTCTGGGTGCTCTAAATTGCTTCTAGAAGCAGTTTTTGTAGAATTTGGGGGAAACTGTTTTCTGAAAAAATTGATTCTGATTATACCGTTGCTTTTAAAAAAAGAAGGATCAAAATCCATTCCAAACATCCTGTATGCTTATCTCCTTTCTCTAGAGTTCAAATTTAGATTCATTAAAAAATAATGCAACAAACCTGGAGGGTAGACACCGGTGGCGTAAGGAAAAGGCAGCGGTGGGTGATGGTAACCACCATCAGGGGTGACTAGAGGATAGCAAGTACTCGTGTATGGTTCCGAGTGAGAAGAGGAAGACACTGGCAAAGTTTGATTACAAGTTGAAATAGTATGATTGTTATGAGGAGGGAAGATTGGAGGTGGAAATGGAGGTGGCTGAGGTCTTTCAGTGGTATTTGGAGACGACATATGGTGGGCAGCAGAGGGTGGATGACCACCATTGTAGGGCAAGACATTGAACAATGTTGAATTTGGCCTTACATAAAGGGGTGCTTGAGGCTTGAGACTGTATTCTATGTTCTCTTCAGATTTACCTGCACACTAAAAAACCCATCATAGTAAGACATTCTAAACTTAAATAGAACATTATCTAAATTAAACACATAGGCCCATCTAGCCTTCTTAAAGATGTTTTCACTTGAATTAGTACATTAAGTTAGGCTGAAACAAACCAAATTGAGTTCAATAGACCTATTCAGACGAGATAAAACTAGACTACAAACTTTCAATTTAATTGAAAACATCTTAATTCTTAAATTCTTTCCACCTAGCTATAATAATTCCAATAATGGTTATGTGGTTAAAATAATCCTAAGCACCAGTTATTTCAAAATAATCTCATTTTAAACATCCAACGTACACTCCATCGAGTTTGTCACACGGGGCTAGGGATGGACCCGGGCCGGGCCCGGGCGGGCTTTTTTTGCAAATACTTGGGCCCGGAACCGGCCCAGGTTGATACCGGGTCCGGGCCGGGCGGGCCCGGTTCAATGTCTATTTTTTTTTGCTTTCTTGTTATCCCCCGACCCCCCCACCCCCCACACCCAAACATCCCTAAAACAACCAGCCCTACCCTAGGAAAAGAAAAAAATTGAAAAAACTAAAAAAAATATGACCAGGGCCCGGCCCGAACCGCCCGGGCCGGTTCGCCCAAAACTGGGCCCGAGCCCGTTCGACCCGCCCAAATGGGCTAAAAGCCCGGAACCGGCCAACCGGTCCGGGTCCGGTCCGAGCCCGCACAGTAGCGGTTCCGGGCCGGCCCGGCCCGGTTTAGTCCATCCCTACACGGGGCTTGCCTAATGTGGTTTTACCTGACTCGTGTGGTTTGCGACTTTTACGCTTGTGTGAAAAATCAACCATATAGTATATAAAAATTATATTGAAATAATTAATTACTTCCTACGTTCCATAAAAGTTGCAACATTGGAATTTCTGCACTATTCACACACCTTACTTTGACTACAATTTTCTAATAATATATATAATAAAAATATTATGTACTCCGTATAAAATATTAATAAATTTGTATTAATGTAAATTTTCAATATATTAACTTTTTTTAATGTTTACTAATACGTAAATAAATATAATTACAGTCAAAGTTGTACATTGGCAAACGTGAAAGTCAAACTGTTGCAACTTTTATGGAACAAGGATAGTACATCATAATTCGGACTATATACAACAGACATGCATTTGTTTCAAGTTTTCGTAAATAATGATCATTGAGCTAGTTGCAAACAAGCACCTTTAATTTGAGGTCCAAGGCCCTACATTATTCAAGATTCTATAACTCTACAAGTTACAAATAATTAGATGATTGGACTCTATATATAGTTGATAGTTGATGTTTATATAATGAGATTGTGGTGGAAAGTCAAATAAGAATTCATTTGGTGCCAAAACAAATGGAAAATATTGTGTTAATTAATGAAATATTTAATAAATTTGTAATTAACAACAATCAAAGATTATGTTTGTATAATTACTAGTTATAACTTAAAAATAAAACATCATAAAAATGAATAAAGAGAATATATTGTTAAAAACAAAACAATTACAAAAATTAGAAACAAACAAATACAAAATTTATGCAACGATGACAAATTAAAGTTCGAAAAATGAAATGTTATGATTTATAAATAAAACAAATGCAGATTACTATATTATATTCAAGCGTGACAAATCAGCTACAAATATTGTACAAAATAGAAGGTCAAAAAAAAAGAAAAAATAAAGTCAAAATGCAAAAAAAAAAAATTAAAAAATGTAAAACCCTTTTAAATAGATGCATAATATAAAAATATCTTCATAAATGCAAACATATTGACTTTAACATTATGAAATTTTTCACATTTTTATCTATATTTCTTCAAATTTAAACTTTTTTTTTAATTTTTATAATATAAAAAACTTTCTATTATAGGTTAAAAACTGATCCAACAGCCAGATTGATCAATTTTTTAAAGTAAGCGTTCTTATCTCATACGTTTTTTAGTATAGCGATTTAAGTTATTGATTAGAAATAGTATAACGATTTATTTGAACTTTTCACTTTTCTAAATATGAGTACCTATTGACTTATGTTGTCGTACAAATGTGGAAATATGTATCGCGTAATATGATTACGAAAAAATAGTACTCCCTTCGTCCCAGAATTATCTTCATACTTTTCTTTTCGATCTGTCCCAAATTTATCTCATCTTTCCCTTTTTAGCAAATAATTTGTAGTTCACAATCATTCTTACACATTCTTACACATTTCTCTTTCCCCTGCACAACTCTCCACCACACATTTCTCACTGTCTTAATCCGTGTGCTATTTGTACTTCAGGAGATAAATATGGGACGGAGGGAGTAGTAACTTATCTTATTTTGGAGAGAGAAACATAACACTCCTATAATTGCACCCATGTTATTTTTGCAAATTTTCATTTCTTTTATGGACCCATGTAGTAGTAATTATCTACAAAAATTCAATACCTATCAAAGCCAATTTCTGGCAGACAAATTTCGATTTATATACACCTAGTGTTTTCCGATCTACTAAAAGATTAATGATAAATAATTACTTAGATTTTGTATTGAACTTTTGTCATTCGTAAGTTACAAAAATAACATTCTACTACGTATTTTAGAATTATATATTATGACCAAATTAAATAATAATGATATGCAAAGCTCTGCGATGGTCTTGACGGCATTGGTAGAAGAGACGATAACATCAAGGAGAGCTGGTGTTTAATTTCTTCTGCGGCCAGTTTAACAGGATATCTAACACATTATTGGAGCATTGTTTCGGAGCGGCGAAGGACTTAGGTTCACGGCGGCGGCGGTCCTAGTAAGTCTAGGTTTTTGGCGGGCGGCGCTATAGCTTTCTTGGCGCTTCAGTGTCCCGGAGTTTTGCTAGTTTTCCTTATCTGGAGCATTTCCTTATCTGGAGCACAGGGTCTTGGTGAATCTCAATTGCAGCACAGGGGAGATGATAGGGATCTGGAGACTGTTCACGTTTGGACTGGTTGTGCTCGTGCGGTATGTTGGCTAAGAGAGGGAGGCGAATCACGGGCAGATTAGGGTGCTGAAGGAAGAAGATGAAGGGATGAAGATCCGCCCTCCTCCTGAACCGCCACCATGCTGGAAATGGGTGATTAGGGGTTGGAACACCGCGCTGGAAGATTGGGTTCGGCTCCATAAGTACATCTTACTTAAATTCATTGTCCCCATTTTTAGTCTGTTTTCGAACAATTTCGTTGCTATCGTTTTGTTTTTGGTATTTGCTTATGGTAATAGGTTTTTTACATTGGTTGAGGGTTCAGCTAGATTTGATATTGTTAGTGGGGGACGGATCTATTTTTTCAGCAATAGCTGCAGTCAGTGGCGGATCCAGGAAAAAAGCTTATTGGGGGCAGAGTAATTAAAAGATAACCCCCCACCACCCTAAGAATGTCATATGTGTTTTATCTGTCTCACTAAGATTATCCTTTATTAAATTTAGCAAGGTTTGTGCGATTCTAATAAGAATGTTTTTACTTAGATTGAATTTTTCTAGTCTGTTTAAATCCGGTACGTCTTGTCTAAATGATCTAGTCTGGTCTGTTATGGTAGATGTTTAGTCTCTGTGTATTTCATGATTGCAGAAGTCTGATTTGGTCTGATCTGGTTTGCTAAAATTTGATCTGATATGAGACTAAGATCAATCAGTGTAAAAATATCTTAAATCATGTTTACTTTATTCTTAATGTATTAATTCAATATAAATCACACAAATTCATTTTTTATAAGCGCATCACCTCTTCATGCCTCAATCCTATGCACAAAGGTAGTAATATAGTACAACAAAAAAATAAAAATAGCGTAGTAATAAAGTATAATTGTATTGTTAAAATGGCAAAATTTCTAACAAAATACATAACAATTGTTTGCACCAAGTTTTCATCTTTTGGAAGAGATCCATTAAAGTTTTATTGCATTGGTACATTTTATTTAACATGTGATTTACAGTTATGATTTTTTACTTATTAAAAAACATTTTCTTTGAGATGTAAGAAATTAGACTCTAATAGATGTGTAATTATTTAAGAAACTCTTCAATTAAATTAAATTGTATAGATGTACACCAATAAATTAAATCTTATAGATGTTCTTCGTATAAAAAGTAATACTCCGTTATGACTTAACAACAGAGAGGCACGACTAATCAAAGTGCCTAGGTTTTCTTCGCTATTCGCCTATTCACCAGCAAATTATCGTATTTGAGCTTAGTCAATCGTAATTGGATTTGTTGGTTTGGGTGATTCCGTAATTTGAATTTCCGATTTACAGCTTTGGAGCGGATAGCCGGACTCCTGAGGTATTGGGGGCAATCAATTTTTTTGATTGGGGGCAAATATTAAAACTTTCAATATTTTCTAATAAATTATATGGATTAGTAGGATTTTATTGGGGGCAACTGCCCCCACACTACCCTTCATAGATCCGCCCCTGGCTGCAGTAAGCTCGTCTGGTGGTTAGCGATTCGTATTGCTCCTTTAGGGGTGGTCGTCTCTATGTCTAATCGTAAGACTAAAAGTAGTTGTTGGAAGGTGAAGTTTGTTGTTGGTTGTGGTCATTTTGAGAATGTTGTAACGATCCTGATTCTGATGATATCAATATAGTCGTTTTCCTTTAAAAAAAATAATGCAAAAAACATTATATAAACTACTCCACAAGATGAATTGAAGCAGAAACGCATACCCGTGGTGGAAGTTTTCGTTTTGCAGAGATTGGTGTCAAAGGAGCAATGCCCATGACTAATTGAAGTCTTCACGAGCTTAATTAATTTTATATTTTGCAGATCGAGGATGTGAATGAATTGAAGTGATTCACCTATATATATATATATAGGAGAATTTAATTTATAAATTAAATATTCGAAATCAAGAATGAGAAATTCTTAATTGTTGCACTGCACGTGGAAATGTTGACTTTAAGCATCCCAAAATATGCACATAATAAGAAATACAAAACCATATTTAAGAAAACATGGAGTGTGTATAGATTTAGCATGTGCAATGTGATGGCTTAGGCATATCGTCCTCATGACCAAAACTAACACTAGAAATAGAGTTAACTATAAAATTAGGGTTAAAGTTTCTCTATGTTTTATTTTGGGGATTACTTTTTTTAATTTCGGTTTTGTTAAGACATGATGTTCCATCCTAAAAGGTTAACCTTGATAGGAGGAGTAATCTAGATTTTAATATAGCACTTAATGCCTTCACAAATATCCGGTGAGAGAATTCAACATCTCTCCTCACGACCAGACACTTCGTTTGAATCGTGCCGTCATTCATTTTTTGATCGATTCGTTATTAGGAAGGCCCACATCATGGATCGATTTGACTTTGATAACAATGTTAATATATGACGTTCCATCCTAAAAGATCAATTTGGGTAATTTTGAAATACGTATTTTTTGTTTTGGGGTTCAACTTTTACTTTTTTGGCTTCGGTGTAATCCATATATTCTCAAAATGAATTAACGAAAGGGGGTTTCCCTTAATATTACTAAATTGAAATGAATTTCCAAAAAGTAAGTACTTTTAAAAATTGACAAAATAGTGATTAATAGGGTCATATATTTGGAATTGAAAAACATGAAGTCACTGTAAAAATTTTATGTCAATGTATTCGTTTTTTCATGTCACTGAGAGTGGTCATTGTCAAATCTTTTCACGCCAATTACACCGCCACCGCCGCACCGCCACCGCTACAGTGACATCGTCATAGTGACGCCGCCACAGTAACATTCACAACCTCCTGCCATTGATTACCACAGTGACGTCGCCACCGCACAGTGACGTCACTGGCGTCGGATGTACCGAACTCCGCCCTGCCTCTTCCGGTTAGTGCCACCACCGCCATTTGACCACAATGGCCACCACCGGACCTTCCGGCAACTCCCGCTGCACAACCATTGCCCTCCCCAGCTCCCCTCACAAACCCCAGACCAGCCCGGATGCAATCCTTCCCCTGTCCCAACCTGACCACCACCCTCCCCGGCTCCCCCTCCCAACCTGGTTAACAAAACCACACCCTACTCCTGCAACAACAACATCCCACCACCACACCACACCCTTACGACAGCCGCACCCCTTCACTGCACACCACCCCCAATCCACCGCACACCATGTACTGGCGCAGCCCCAGTCGCAGACCCTGTCCCGACCCCTCCCCTGCCCCAGGCCCCTGCCAGTACTTCGCAACCAGCCTCAGATCCGGTCACAACTAGCCTCGTCCATCGCTCGCCGTCGCTTATAGAATTCAGTAGAATTCTCCGTCGCTCACCATAGTCCATAGCCAGAAGGAACTCCGGTGTGTTCGCCAGATTCATTACAAAACCTGTTCAAATAGGAGAAGAAGGAGAATAAAAAACGTGACGGGGACGACGACTTACCGGGGTGAAATCGTGGATTGCGCTAGCTGGGATGGGGGCTGCGGCAGGCTTTGGAGGACGTGTGTCGGCTTTGGCTATTGTTTGGCGGAACAATTAGCTGGCAAGAGGGAAGCAACGAATTTGTCTTTCGGATTGAAGGAACGAAATGTTTGGCAACGAAGGGGGTATATAAAGGTTGAGTCACTTTTGTGGAAATTGAAAATAGGTCATATTTTAGGAATTCAAAAGCCTATTAGTAAAATAGGGGTCATTAATTCTAGTACTCCGTATGAATTAGGGATGGGGGAAAAGTTGATACCGTGAGATAATTGGGAAAATAGTACTCCAATAGGAGTCCTGGCAGGTATATTTATAGTAAAATAAGAGTTGCCAAAATACACAAGGATTCCAAATTTATATTAAATATTACACCCCTCAAGCTGTGCGGGAGATACAACACGCATGTTGTCTTTAAAAAATGAAACTGCTTACTAGATAAACTCTTAGTAAAAATATTCGCAAGTTGCAAACGTGTAGGAACATACTTCACGATCAGATCACCATGGGTCACTCTCTCACGAACAAAATGATAATCAATCTGAATATGCTTGCTGCGTGCATGCTGAATAGGATTAGCTGTCAGGTAAGAAGCACAAATATTATCACATAATAACTGAACAGGCTCTCGTATTGTATAACCAAGCTCAAATAGGATCGAACGAATGTGTAATGTGTCTTGGGCTGTATAAGCAATGGCACTGTATTCAGCATCAGTAGAAGATTTAGATATCGTAGGCTGCTTCTTGGACTTCCATGAGACAAGATTTGGACCCAAGAAAATAGCAAAACCTGTAGTAGAACGAGAGGTATCCGTACAGCTTGCCCAATCAGCATCAGAGTAAGCCAAAATACACAAAGGGCGAACAGACTTCTGAAGCCATAATCTGTGATCAATGATTCCCTGTAAGTAACGAAATATGCGCTTGACAGCAAGCATGTGAGTGGTGCGTGGGACATGCATAAATTGAGACACTAAATGAACTGCATAAGTAATATCAGGTCTTGTCAAAGTTAAATATTGTAATGCACCTACCATACTACGATATTTCGTAGCATCAGACAAATGTTCTTCATCAGTGAGGGAGAGAGATGTACGAGTGGCTAATGGTGTACAGACAGACTTGCGAGTGTGTAAATGAAAACGAAGAAGAAGATCTGAGACATATTTTTGTTGAGAAAGAAACACACCTGTAGATGTGTGAACAACTTGGATCCCCAAAAAATAATGGAGATCACCGAGATCTTTCATAGAAAAATTAGACGCAATGCAGGTAATGAAAGAACACACAAGAGATGAAGAATTTCCATTATTAATGATATCATCTACATATAATAATAAAAACATAACTGACTGCCCCTGACGCTAAATAAACAAAGAATTATCTGACTTACTACACACAAAATTATGAGTACACAAGAAACTACTGAATCGATGAAACCATGTGTGCGGGGCCTGTTTTAGACCATAAATAGCCTTGCGTTTGACAGCAAGCATAGCTGTTCAGGGGATTCGGTTGCGCTCGAAACTACAGCCGTGGAGGCAGGAGGCGTGGAGAAGCCTGGTTGTGCGCCGGCGCCTGAGAAGAAGTGGCAGCAGCGGCAGCCGAGCTCATGGCTGAAGACACCATGGCTGCGGCGTTGGAGAAGGGCGAATTGCTCATGGCGGCGACGTGAAATTTTAGGAGAGAGAAAAAAATTAGGTTAAGGCTCTTGATACCATGTGAGATAATTGGGAACACAGTACTGCAATAGGAGTCAAGGCAGGTATATTTATAATAAAATAAGAGTTGCCAAAATACACAAGGATTCCTAATTTATATTAACTATTAGATACTATTTACATGTATCGCTTAAATAATACTCCTTTCATCCCTTAAAACTTTACCAAGTTTGACGGGCACGGCGATTAATAAAGTAAAAACTACGTGATTTAGATTTGTGCAAAGGAAAGAGAATTAACTGGAACCACAAATTCTTTACTTAAAAGGGAAAGTGACAAAATTAGTAGGACATCCAAAAAATGAAAGTTGACAAAGTTATAAGGGACGGAGGGAGTACTACTTAGTAATAACAATAATAATACTATGCTAATCATAACAGTAATATTAATACTATTATTATTATTGAATTAATTGTTGTTAAGTTTAAGTTTCGAGTTTCATCCTCAAATGAGAAGATGACATACATGGTAGTACCTTTGTTTCATTGAATATAATCAACTTCGTGTTGGATGTGAACTACGTACAAAAAATAAAAATAGAAATAAATTGAACCACAACTTAACATGCATCACAATATGATATTAAAATATTGCATCGCAATATGATATTAATTAGTACGGAGTACCATGTATTTCATGAACAGAATGAATATAGGGAAATTTTTCTAAATAGGAGTAAACAACTTTGGAAATTTCAAAACAGGATCACTATGTTTTTCCTCTCGAAATAGGAGTCTCATGATTAAAAATTTATGACATGATTGAAAAATACTATCATTAATTATACTTCATCCGTCCCCCTATAATTGTCTCATTTTTCCATTTTTGGATGTCCTATTATCGTCTCATACCATATTTGATAACATTTGTGTGACTCTAATTTATTTTTACTTTATTTCTACTTTATCAACTCATTATCAACCATATAATTCTAATTTTCTTAAAAATCACAATACTCCCTTCCGTCTCAATATTAGTGGGACGGAAGGAGTAATAAATGTTGTCATGTTAAATGCACAGTACTGCAAATATTTGGCGGTCATGACTAAAAGATATGATGTCAGTAAATACTGTTATATATTTAAATCCTATTTCGGGAAGAAAAATATAAAAGTCTTATTTTGAAATTCCAAACTCTATTTAGGCCTATTTTGAGAAATCCGTTAAACACATTACAAGACACTCTTTCGGATTTTCAGGCCTATTTTAGTCCGTTACTCCAAACAATCTTTCGGATTTTTAATATCATTTGTACACCAACTATTAACTAATGTGTATGTATGAAATAGAATTGCTCTAGTTAATGTGAGGTGTGCATGTGATCTACTTGGGCCTTGGCACACTATCACGTGTCAATTTTTGAAAAGAAAAATTCTATTTGTATAAATAATTTGTACATATTTGACACACTTTTCTGTGTCCACAGACATCTCGTTTTAAAAAACTATCAATTGTCTATATAAATAGGCGAGTGTAAAATATACACAAAATGTGTACACCTCTTAGTTATCTGTGTAGACATGCAATTCATTTAGGAAAAGACAACAATTGTCTATGTAGATAGGAGAGTGTCAAGTTTGTACAAATTTTGTGTACACCAAGAATGATTGTTTTCAAAAATGTAGATATTTTAGCTAAGATGAAC